GGGGGGGGAGGCACAATAGGAGCACTTCCACTTTGAGCAAATGTGGTAAAACTGCCATCTTGTTCCAGAGAGAGGGAAAAAAAACCCTCTTTTTTGCTAGAGGAAATAGCAACATTTTGGTCCTGGATTAGATTAAAGAAAATCTATTTTCACTAGCAGAGCCTGAGTTTTGCAAAGCTCCACACTGCTGCTCTCTGCACGCTTTCTGCAGGGCGAAGCCTTTGTCCCTGTGCGAAACAAAGGAGTGCTGTTTTGTCCACACTGCACAGTTTTGTTACCAAAATCTTCCTTTTGGTGACAAAACAGTGAGAGCAGTTCACACTGCAACATGACTTTTGTTGGGAAAAAAGCCCAGTTTCGGTGACAAAAAACTTCCACCCCTGTGGACTTTTCCTTCCTCTCCTTGTCTTTTTAGGCTATGTCTACACTACACTTCTTTTTCAGAAAAAGGTACACAAATTCTGCTCTGCAATTTGCAGACCTTTTTCCAGTTCTTTTTTTGGAAGAGGCTTTTCCAAAATTTGGCCCATCTACATACACTGGGCCAAATTTCAGAAAAAATCTCCTCTTTCGGAAGAGCCCTTCTTCCTCATGAAATGAGGTTTACAGGGCTTCCAAAAGAGCATGTCTGCTCTTCTGAAAATTTTTTTTGGAAGAGCAGACGCATTTCCTGGACTCAGCGGAGTTTTTATCCTGGAAAAACTCTGTAGTGTATATGTAGCATAGTATAGATGTGGACTATGTTATTTTGGAATAACATTAGTTACTCTGAAACTAGCCAATTAGCCCGTCATAAGATGGGATTTTCAGGTCTCTCCTCCATGTCGGTCTTCTCTCCTGAGCCTCTGGTCTCTCTCTGTCCTCCTCCTACTGCCTCCCCCTCTCTCTCTCTCTCAGCTCTCGTCTGCCTCCTGCCTCTCTCTCCGTCTCTCTCTCTTCCTCTTCTCCCCCTCCTGCCTCTCACTCTGTGTTTCTCTTCTCCTTCTCCTGCTGCGTGTCTCTCTCTCTCACTCTCCCTCTCACTGTCCTCCGCCTCCTCCGTTCTCCTCTCTGTCTCCTCTGTGTCCTCTGTGTCTGCTCTGCTTTCCTCCTTTTGAATCCGGTGCCCTTTCCTGATGTCACAGAAGCATACTTGTCCAGGCCCTGCCCCCTGGCTGTTCCCTCTGGGCAGTGCTGTTGCCTCCCACCCTGGCACTCGGCTGACTTCTGTGCCACTCAGCCGGGCCGCCTCAGCCATGAAGACTGAAGCAAAGAATTCTTTTAGCTTCCCTGCAATGACTTTATCATCTCTGAGTGCTCCTTTAATATCTCAATTGTTCAAGGGCCCCACTGGTTGTTTAGGAGGCTTCCTGCTTCTGATGTACTTAAAAACATTTTGCTGTTGTTTTTTGAGTTTTTGGTTAGCTGTTCTTCAAACTCCTTTTTGGATTTTATTACTATATTTTTACACTTAACTTGACAGACTTTATGCTCCTTTCTATTTTCCTCACTAGGATTTGACGTCTACTTTTTAAAAGATGTCTTTTTATCTGCCATTGCTTCTTTTACTTGTTTGTTAAGCCACAGTGGCACTTTTTTGGTTCTCTTACTGTGTTTTTTAATTTGAGGTATACATATAACTTGGGCCTCTATTATGGTGTCTTTAAAAAGTTTCCATGCAGCTTGCAGAGGTTTTACTTTTGTCACTGTACCTTTTAATTTCTGTTTAACTAACCTCCTCATTTTTGTGTAGTTCCCCTTTCTGAAATTAAATGCCACAGTGTTGGGCTGATGAGGTGTTCTCCCCCCACAGGGATGTTAAATTTTATTACATTATGGTCACTATTTCCAAGAGGTCCAGTTATATTTACCTCTTGGACCAGATCCTGCACTCCACTTAGGACTAAATCAAGAATAGCCTCTACACTTGTTGGTTCCAGAACCAGCTGCTCCAAGAAGCAGTGATTTTAAGGTATTAAGAAATTTTATCTCTGAATCCCGTCCTGAGGTGACATGTAAGCAGTCAATATGGGGATAGTTGAAATCCCCCACTATTATTAAGTTTTTTATTTTGATAGCCTCTCTAAGTATTTCATAGTCACTATCACTGTCCTGATCAGGTGGTTGATAATATAACCCTACCACTATATTCTTATTATTGGAGCATGGAATTACTATCCATAGAGATTCTATGGAACATTTTGGCTTATTTAAGATTTTTACTTCATTTGATTCTACATTTTCTTTTACGTATAGTGCCACTCCCCCTACCAGCACGACCTGTTCTGTTCTTCCGATATATTTAATCTATTATGAAAGCCAAACCAAAAAGAATCGAAACAATAGCCAGCATGAAATATCTTTGGTGGACTGTTTTGACATTATTGAAACACCCCAAATTGAGGCTTCCAAATCGGATTTGGACCCCCTGAGGATCTGGCCCCTAGGATGTTGTAATTACACTACCGCAACGAGATCTAAATTTAGGTGTGATTGTGACCCCCCCCCTCTCCACCGCCAGTACTTAAGAACAAGGCTACATAGCAGGGCCTGATTCTCAGACGTACTATGCTTTACGCTGCAGGGCAATTGAGAATCAGACTCTTGGTATTTTCAATAAAGGCGAAGCCTCTTGTCACAGAACAATGGTCCAGTGTGAGTTAACAATCGAACCCTGAGCACTGCGTCTGGAGCAGGAGAACATTTATAGGAGCAGCGTCGAGACCCGCAAAGCTGCCTAGGGGATTCAGACTAGGGATGTTAGATAGCGGGTAACTGAACAGTCGTGTAACCGCATGAAATCTTAGTGGCTACACGACTATTCGATAGTCTCTGGGGGTGGGGCTGGCAGCCAGTGCACTCCCAGTCCTACTCCTGCAGAGCCCCCGTCACCTCCCGCTGCGGCCTCTGTACCAGTTTAAAAACCAACTCCCTATGCAGACCAGCTGCCTGCCGCCTTGCACTGCTGCCTCTGATACAGAGGCAGCAGCATGGGTTGGCAGCAGCACCCATCTGTGGGGCGCTCGGGCTCATTGTGGACACAAGCTGCATCGCGGCAGCCTCCCCTGACCCTCCCCACCACATTTCTGCCTCTGATAGAGGCTGCAGCGCTGTGGGGGCAGGCAGTAGCAGAGAGCAGGTGCTGGGAGGAACTGGCTTTTAAACCAGCTCCCCCCAGCACTGGCTCCCATCTGCCCCCCCAACGAGGCAGGAGGAGGGGTAGCAAGAAGGAGAGGGCAGCCAAGTCTGCGGAGCCAGCACATGCAGGGGGCTGGCTTAAAAGTTGGCTCCCCGGGTATATTAGCTTCAGCCTACCTCCCTCAATCTTCACGCTGCTGTGTCTCGGAGGGTATGTCTACACTACCACCCTAGTTCAAACTAGACATACCCTATCAGAGGCAGCAACATGAGGGTGGTGGGGGCAGGAGGATCCAGTGCTTGTGGGGAGCCAGCTTTTAAGCTAGGTCCTCAAGGGCACCAGCTCCTGCTCCGCCCCCTTGCTGCCTCTCATACAGAGGCAGCAAGAGGAGGGGGAAATGCATGTAGTTGACAAGATTCACTGATAAGCCCAGGCTTATTGGTTAATCGTGTAGTCGCCTACACCATGACATCCCTAATTCAGACATATTGGGTGTCTAACTCCCCTTTTGAAAATCTCAACCAACCGCATTGCAAGGCTGATTTCTACCCTAGGAGCAAGGCCTGCAAGCTCATGGAAGCTGGACACACAAGTCCATGGATTTGCTGTGGGATGTGATGCCAAAGAATCAGGCAATACCTCTAAGAAGGCAGCTTTGGAGTATGGAGGTCTCCTTTCCCAGGCCTTTCCTTTCCTACAGGCCAATCTGCTGGCTGGGTTAAATCGGCGTAGCTCCATAGAAGACAACTACCCTGATTTACACCAGTTGAAGATGTCAGCCATCATCCAAGTCAATGGGAGTCTCTGTTGGCTCAATGGGTGATGAGTCAGGCCCTATGTTAATAACCCTCTGGACAGCTCTTTTTGGCCTTACCTTTCCTTCTTTGTCCTGGCAAGTCCTGGAAAGCTCCTCCACCTTCTTGTTCAGGTCCTTGATGGTTCTCTGCAGCTGTTCTGACTTCCTCCTCGGCTCCCTTGCTTCCTTCTCCAGCTCTGCCACCTTGTCCAGCAGGTCCTTGTTCTTTTGCCTCTCCGAGGCCAGGACCTCCTCACGCTGGGCAGACTTCTCCCTCACCTCTTCATGCTTCTCCTGAAGAGCTCTCAGCTCCTCTTCCAGAGCCTGAGTCTGGAGCGCCAGGGAGCTCCAGGCCTTCTCGTGCATCCGCAGGGCTTCCTCCTCCTCCGAGCACAGCTCTGCCACCTTCACGGGCAGTCGGTCGAGCAACTGCTTCAGCTTGGTCATGTCATGGCCTTCACTGCCCAAGGTGGCCTGAGCTGCCTCCAGCTCCTCCTTCAGCTCCCACAGATCTCTCTCCAGCTCATTCACCCACCGCCAGGGCTCAAGCACCAGCTCTCCTCCAACGATCTCCAAGGTTTCAGACGCTTCTTGACCGAGGGCCTGGACACTGTTGCTTGGAGGGCCTTTCTCGCCCACCACGGAGGCATCGATATCCTCATGCTGCACGGCGGGAGTCTGGTCGCTCTCCAGCATCTGGCTCTCCTCTTCTATCTCTGACACCAGCTGCAGGGCCTCATTGTGCTTCTTCACCAGGTTGTCCAGTTTCCAGTGCAGCTCCTCCAAGATGCAGGCACCGAGGCTCTGGCTCTGCACTTTGTTGGCCTCACCCATCATCTGCTTGAGGAAGCTGTCCCTCAGCACCACCATCTCCCTCTTCTGGGTCTCTAGCCTTAGCCTCAGCTTCTTGGTCTCTTCTTTCTCAGCTGACAGCTCCTGGGACAAGGCGGCCACTCTCTGCCTCAGCTCCTCCACCACGTCCTGGGCCTCCGCACGGGGGGACCCCTCCTTTTCGGGGTGCTGCTGGAGGCGTTGGAGCTCCTCCTGCAGCTTCTCCCTCTCCATGCCCAGCTGGGCCAGCTCATTCAGAAGGCTGCCGTTGTTCTCTCTGAGGTCTGACACCTCTTTCTCTAGGTCAGAGCTTCTCCTCCTGGCCCGGCCTTTGGTTTCCTCAGAATTGTCCCTCAGCCTAGGTGTGAGCTGCTCCTGGAGGCCATCTTGGATCTGGTTCTTTTCCACGCTGCTCTTTTCCAGCTCCTCTGGCGAATGCAATTGCCTTTGTGAGGACCCCAGCTCATCTCTGAAGACATTGTTCTCCTCCTCATGCTGCTCCAGGCCATTTCTCAGCTCTGGAAGCTGGGAAGCCATCGTGCCATTTACCACGACCCCAGGCTCTTGCTTGCTGTGAGGGGCTGAGATGGCTTCCTGGAGAGGCCTGGCTTTCTCAAGAAGGTTGGAGTTAGCCTCCCCCATCTTCGCCAGAGCATGTTCTAAGCCCATCACCATCTTCTCCCAAGAGGCCATGCTCTGCCTGACAGCTTCTGAGGGCACCGCCTCGAGGTGAAATTTGCCCCTGAGGGCCTCCTCTGCCTCCCTTTTCAGATCCTCATTTTCGGCGAGGACCGCGGCCTTCTCCTCCTGGGCTCTGGCACATGCCTTCCTCATCCATGACAGGAATGGGCCTAGCTCAGTGCAGAGAGCAGATCTGGGCTCTCTCTGATCCACCTCCTGTTTTCCTGCCTTCTGGCTTTCTCCCTGCTGCTTTGCCAGCAGTCCCCGGAGCCGCTGGTTGTCACCCTCGAGCTCAGCGTTTCGGCGAGGACCGCGGCCTTCTCCTCCTGGGCTCTGGCACATGCCTTCCTCATCCATGACAGGAATGGGCCTAGCTCAGTGCAGAGAGCAGATCTGGGCTCTCTCTGATCCACCTCCTGTTTTCCTGCCTTCTGGCTTTCTCCCTGCTGCTTTGCCAGCAGTCCCCGGAGCCGCTGGTTGTCACCCTCGAGCTCAGCGACACGAGCCTGCAGCTGCTCCAGCGCCTCGCCCTGGGCCCGTTTCTTGGTCTCGTAGACAGCGATCACTGCCCTCATGTTCTCTAGGTGGCCTTCGATCTCCACCACCCTCTTCGTCGCGTTCTCCTTCTCCTCGAGGGCTGTGGCCACTTCGCTCCTGTTGGAGTCTCTTCTCCTCCTCTTCCTGCTCCCCCGGCCATTGTACGCTCTCTTCCTTCACTACTACATCCTGGCCTCCTCCTCTCCCTGCCTCTTGCTTTCTCTTCTTCAGCTCTTGCACTTGCTCAGACAAAAGGTTCAGATAATAGTCCTCTTCCGTGGCGTCCCGGCTGTACCGGCGGCTCTTCATCTGCCCGCTCCAGCAACAGCTGGCTGATCTCCTGCACCTGGTCCCAGATCCTCTCCTTCATCACCTTGCGCCCCTCTGCCAGGGCATCACACTCCTTCGCCTTCGTCGCCAGCTGCTCTTCCAGCTGCAGGACTTTCATCTGCTCGTCCTCGCATCGACACCGCCACTCTTCTGCGTCGAGATCCTCCTCTTCATCCCAGTCTCCTTCCTCGCTCTGCAAAGTTGTGCCGCTGCCACCCAGTGCCGGGGGCTCCGCTGTCACCTGCAGCCACCGGGGAAACCAACAAGACACATGAGTTTATTAGAGAAGCTCTATAAAGTGGCATCGTCCGCACAGCATGACCTCCCACGTAAGGGGGGGGCGACGTCAGGCTGCGCACAGGACTCCATTTTGTTCTTCAAAATGCTGGCTTCCATATTGTCCGGGGTCCCGGCAGGAAAGTCTTTATTAAAATGCCAGCAAAAATGTGGAACCCTCTTCTCGCTGGGTATATACAGCACCTATTACATTGAGGACCTTGAAGTGCTACTGTCCTATAAATGACAAAAGTCAACCAGACGCTCCCCAAGGGGACGGCTACGGGATGTAAATGAAGCTCTTCGAAAGTGCAAATGAAGCCGGTTTTCAGGTTTACAGGATCTTTCGAAAAAGCACCCTATTTTCAAAAGAACTGCGGCTAGACTGCGGTTTCAATTTCGAAATAGCGCTTTTTTGAAAGAGCGCCATTGCGTGATTATGCAAATGAAGCACGGGATATTTAAATCCCAGCTTCATGTGCGCTTTTGAAGTGCTTCATTTACATCTCTCTGCCGATAGAGAGGTGTAGCCTAAGCCTGACCCACTGTACCTGAGAGCCGGGGCAGGGAAGTCACTAGACCTGAGAGCGCCCGTTCTAATCTGCCTCTTGGCAGGAAGGGACTCCAAATCACTGCGCTTGCTGGCTTTTTAGCTGAACCAAATTGTGGGGGAGGAAGGCTCATCTCTGCCCCTTGTTCCATCAGGGTATGTCTACACTACCCCGCTAGTTCGAACTAGCGGGGTAATGTATGCATACCGCCCTTGCTAATGAAGCCCGGGAAATTCAAATCCCGGGCTTCATTAGCATAAGCGGGGAGCCGCCATTTTTAAATCCCCGCTGCTTCGAACCCCGTGTAGCGCGGCTACACAGGGCTCGAACTAGGGAGTTCGGACTAGGGTGCCTATTCCGAACTACCGGTACACCTCGTTTCACGAGGAGTAACGGTAGTTCGGAATAGGCACCTAGTCCGAACTACCTAGTTCGAGCCCTGTGTAGCCGCGCTACACGGGGTTCGAAGCAGCGGGGATTTAAAAATGGCGGCTCCCCGCTTATGCTAATGAAGCCCGGGAAATTCAAATCCCGGGCTTCATTAGCAAGGGCGGTATGCATACATTACCCTCCTAGTTCGAACTAGGAGGGTAGTGTAGACATACCCTCACTTGTGCCCGTGCAGAAAACGCCAGTGGAGGAGAAGAGCAGCTTTGTGCACCCGAGATGCCCTGACTGCTCCAGGCGGCACTGGGGAATCAAGCCCTCAGTTTCAGGCCACGTAATGGCAGTGCAATACTGGCTGCTGATTCTCGACCTCCCACCGATCCATCTGACACCTCTCACCTGCTCCGTGTGGACCCAGGGGGTGCAGAGTTTATGGCTGCATAATGCACCCAAGACATTCTGACACACCTCCATTCTTTCTCGGGCTGGGCCCAAAAGGGTTCCCCTTACCTGGGATGTGGTGTCCGTTTGACGGCCGGATCCGTGCTCTGCCAGGAGGAAAAGAGAAACACACGGAATAAAATTTGAAAACTCTCCATAGGCCTCAGGCCAGCCCCTGTCTTCTGCATCTCCAGCTCTCCACAAGCAGGAATTCACCTCGCCAGGTGGGTATCATCATCCCAATCCCACCAATGCAGCCCAGCGAGCCAGCTTTCTTTTGCTGGATTCCTGCTCTAGTATGTTCAGCAGCAGAGGTGAAAGAAAGCGGGTGCCCTGGGGCGCAGCTCCGGCAAGAGCTGGCTGAGCTGCGGCAAAAGCCAGCAGGGAGCTATTGAAAGAGTTGGCAGGACCTTGGGTTGCAATAGGACAGGACCTGTAAGAAATTTTAAGTTACTTTCACTGCTGTCCAGCAGTAATGCAACAAACCCACAGGTCTGAATCCTGTAAGACAGGGGAACCTCAGGCCAGAGTCCAGATGTGGCTCCTGGCTTGGCTGGCTTCGGCCCCCAAGGCTCAGGACTCCCCTCGGAATTGGGGAGCCCGTGCTGGTACCCCAGCTCCCCTGCTGCCCCACGACAGGGCTGGAGCACACAACATCAACTAGCATGGGTTGCCCTAGGCTCTGGTGCATGAGGGGAATGTGGGGAGTGTCAGGAACCTCATCAGTCAGGGGTTGTTTTGTTTTTTCGTTTTTTTGCTTTTCACTTGTGTGTGGTCCCTGACGGATTTTTCTGTGGGTCAGCATCCCCGGACCCAAAAAAGCTTCTCCACCCCTAGGCATGGGCTTTAGCCGTTTAGATGTAGCTTAAGACTTGTAAACTTTGGCATAGCTAATCTTAAGGAACTCATAAGTTGTAAGGAACTGGAAGTAGGGTGTACGGGGGAGTCTTGGGCATAAGACCACAGAACAGGAGCTGACACCAGCTTCTGGAAGGGTCTGGATGTGCCACAGCAACAAACTGATGATAATGGCATGAAATTATAGATATGTTAACCTTTATAGGGTATATAATGGTGTGAAATCATAGATCTCTGCACTGGTTAGGCCTCAGTTGGAGTTTTGTGTCCAGTTCTAGGCACCACATATCAAGAAAGATAAGGAGAAATTGGAGCGGGTCCAGAGAAGAGCAACAAGAATGATTAAAGGTCTAGAGAACATGACCTATGAAGGAAGGCTAAAAGAATTGGGTTTGTTTAGTTTGGAAAAGAAAAGATTGAGGGGGGACATGATAGCAGTTTTCAGGTATCTAAAAGGGTGTGATAAAGAGGAAGGAGAAAACTTGTTCATCTTGGCCTCTGAGGATAGAACAAGAAGCAATGGGCCTAAACTGAAGCAAGGAAGGTTTAGTTTGGACGTTAGGAAAAAGTTCCTAACTGTCAGGGTGGTTAAACACTGGAGTAAATTGCCTAGGAAGGTTGTGGAATCTCCATTTGTGCAGATATTTAAGAGTAGGTTAGATAAATGTCTATCAGGGCTGGTCTAGACAGTATTTGGTCCTGCCAGGGGGCAGGGGACTGGACTTGAGGACCTCTCAAGGTTCCTTCCAGTCCAAGTATTCGATGATTCTGTGTTATGCTAACCTATAGGAAAAGGACAACTTAGCATTGGTAAGGGGAAGAAATGCAAAGAAGGAATAAGGGTAACCCCCTATTAAAATGCATCAGACATGGTAAAGTCAGCATGACATATTATAAAAGTAGCATCCCAGGGCAGCGAAAGGAGAGCTGTAGACCTTGGAAGGGGCCAGAATGGTGCCACTGGTGAAGATGAGGAAGGTGACGGTAATGAAGATGATAACGGCTACCATCAGGTTGCTCTGCGAGGCACGGTGTGAGTATGAATGTTCCAAAGTACCCTCTGTATTCTTTCTACCTGCCTTGGTGCGTTTGTGTGTAGAACTGTGAATAAATTATTTATTTGTAAACATAAAAGAGTTCCTATAGTGTGAGTGTTGCCCCTCTTCACAACTATAAAATAAGAGACGCAATTGTTTTATTGGGCCTGATTTTGGGGTTAGGAAAATCCCTCAGAGTAGTCGATGGGAATCTTCAGATGAGGCTACACCAATGACAACAGTGGTGATATGCCCAAGGTCTCACAGAGAATTTGTAGGTGAGCCAAAAATGGAACCCAGGAGACCTGTCTCCCAGCTCTAACCATGGCCGCACACGCCCCTCCTGGAGCTAGCTATGGAACTCAGGAGTCCTCACTACCCCTCCTCGGTCCTCGCTCGCAGGCAATATTCCTCCCCGGAGGTAGAACTAGAACCAGGAGATTCCAGCTTCCAGACCCCTGGGGTGTGTCTAGACTACAGAGTTTTGTCGACAAAAGTGGACTTTTGTCGACAAAACTATACCTGCGTCTACACTACCGCTGAGTTCTGTCGACATAACGTCGACAGAACTCAGCAGTTTTGTCGACGCTGGTAAACCTCATTTTACGAGGCATAACGCCTTCTGTCGACAGAGTTTCTGTCGACAGAAGGTGTTATTGCATGTAAACTGTCCTTTGCGTCTACACTACCATGTCGACAAAGCATCTTGCTTTGTCGACAGAACTCAATGTAGTCTAGACGCTCTTTGTCGACAGAAGTTTTGTCGACAGTATCTGTCAACAAAACTTCTGTAGACAGAAGCCTGTAGTCTAGACGTACCCCTGGATGCCACTGGGTTAACTGAGCACTGAGTGGGGAGGTGACTTGTCCAGAGTCACCCAGGTGCTGAGCCTGGAAGCCAGATTTCTTGATTCCTAGTCCTATGAATTAGCC